TGGCCCAAACTTTTTTTTTTTCCCCTTCCCGCGGCCCGAGCGGGCGGTGCTGGGAGATGTAGTCGCCGGGGCTGCGAGGACTCGGGGTGGGGGCTCCGGGCGGCCCTCCTCTGCTCCAAGGGTCGTGGCGCAGCCCAGGCCTCCGGCCCGCTCTCTTACCCACTCGCATCCAGAGCCTTGTCTTGGGTTTACTTCAGCACTTGGCTCTTCCCTCGTGTCCCGTCCCCCACCCCGCCTCACTTCCAGCCCTTTGGGGTCGTTCGCTAGCATGGGTGTCCTCCATCCACAATCTTCTGTGGTCTCCTGGATGCCACTGCTGTGACTCTACCCAGTTCCAGTCACTGCGGCTGTGTAGCCGCTGGCTCCAAACTTAGCGAGTAAAACAGCTGTTCCTCGGTGCTTAACAGAAGCTGGGGGCTGTGTGTCAAGAGTTTGGACAGGGCGCAGCTGACCGTGCTTGTCTCTGTTCTGTGACACCTGGGCCTCAGCTGAGAAGACCCTGTGGTCAGGGGTAACTTGGAGAGACCTCAGGTCTATAGGTCAGACCTCGAGAATCAAGAAGCGGAGTTCAGGTGATTAGCAAGCACGCAGGATCTCAGGCTACTGGCCTCAAGGTCATTGTTGGGGAGACAGCTGGCTTTGGATAGTCATAAGTCCAAAGCCAGTGAGAACACCCTGCGGATGGTTCATTTCTGTTGTTGTTACCATCCAGAGCTGACCCTCCAGCAGGTTTTCAGAGGTAATACACTGCACTGGAGGAGATTGATGGTCTTTTTCCTGCAGAGCAGATAATGGATTTGAACCTAGTGCCTTTGGGTTGCCAGTGCAACTCCTTATTACCAGAGATCCCTGGCTCATGTCTGGAGACCAGGAATCGGATAGCCAGATGCGGACCTGGTAGAAGTCTCTCTAACTTTTTGCCAGATAGTCCAAACATAAATAAGGTGCAGGCCACACCCCTGAAGAAATCTATCCTTGATCAGATAAGGTCATTCAGATGTGCTTTTAATCTTGCCTTATTAACGTCATAAACGTTAGGATTTACAAGGTATAGAGTGGTTACATTATATTGAAGATCCCAAGACTCCCCTGTCAGCTTGTCATTCTATGGTGGCTTGCATTTTTCTCTGAGAGCTGTGCCACTAACAGAATTATCCTTGGTGGACAAGTAACAATGGAGCTTCTCAATTAAGAGAAAGAAACAAGGCTGGCCATCCACTTTGGAAATAACGGGCCTTGAAAATCTTAAGAATAGCAGCAGAACAATGTCCTACATAATGTTCTGTATAACATTGTCAGCTCAGGAGAGGAAGACCCTGAATGAGGTGACTGACACAGTGACTGTGACAATGGGTCAGGTGTATCAGAGATGAATTGGCTCAGGACAGGGCAAGGTTCAGGGCCATTGTTCATAGGGTCACTATGAGTTGTAGTCGACTCAGTGGCACCTAACAACACCATATAAGGACAACCTGTTAATACAACTATCGTTCAAATACACACATGAATGACTAAATGCAAACAAGTAGAAATGGAGGATTCCACCCAACTCTGCTGTGGAAAGGATCCATGGAGAAGCTCAGTATCAGCAGTGAAAACACAGCTGACTATGGAACGGGCCATATAGACTCATGTAATAAGTTCAAACTGAAGCCGAAGAAAGTGAAAACAAGTCCACAAGAACCGAAATACGAACATAAATCTATCCCAACCAAGTTTAAAACCATCTCAAGAATATATTTGATTCATTGAACATTAGTGATGAAAGATCAGATAAGTTGTGGGTGATGATTAAGAATGTCATTCTCGCTTTTCCAGCCTGGTTCCGGCACTATGGCCCCCGCAAAGAAGGGTGGTGAGAAGAAGAAAGGCCGTTCTGCCATCAACGAAGTGGTGACCAGAGAGTACACCATCAGCATTCACCAGCGCATTCATGGAGTGGGATTTAAGAAGCGTGCTCCTCGGGCACTAAAGGAGATCCGGAAATTTGCCATGAAGGAGATGGGAACACCAGATGTTCGCATTGATACCAGGCTTAACAAAGCTGTCTGGGCCAAAGGAATAAGGACTGTCCCATACCGCATCCGTGCATGGTTGTCCAGAAAACGTAATGAGGATGAAGATTCCCCAAACAAGCTGTGTACACTGGTTACCTATGAACCTGTCACCACTTTCAAAAATCTACAGACCGTCAATGTGGATGAAAACTGATAGCTGATTGTCAAATAAAGTTATAAAACTGTAAAAAAAAAAAAGAATGTCATTCTCAAAGAAAGCAAAAGGTCATTGTAGATGGGAAAGAGAGACCAAAATGGATGTCAGAAGATAATCTGAGACCTGCATTAGAATGTAGAGATGCCAAAACAAAAGGAGGGAAATGCTGAAATAAGAGAGAGGAATAGAAGATGTTAAAGAGCAGCTCAAAAAGAAAAGCTAAGGATTCTAACAAAATATGCCGAGAGCTGGAGTTAGAAAACCAAAAGGGAAGGAACACCCTTGGAAACTCTCAAGATGGAAGAATATAAGAACAAATTCAAGCCTCAAGTTGCAATATTGAAGGATTTTATGAGCAAAATCTTGAGCAATGCAGGAAGCGTTAAAAGAAAGTAAAAATACACAGAGTCACTGTATCACAAAGAATTGGTCAATACAGAACCATTTTAAAAAGTAGCATATGTGGTGGGGGGAGGGCTGGGCGGGGAGAGAAGTGCAGCAATAAATGAATGGAAATCCAAAATCTCTGTAAATGTTCATTAAAATGATAAAAACATTATTAAAAACAAAGTAGCTATGATCAAGAGCCAGTGGTAATAAAGGATGACATTTAAGTAGCACTGATGCATTAGCAAAGAAATAAGACCCCAGGAATTGATAGAATTGTAATTGTATTTCAACAAACACACACAGCCCTGTAGGTACTCACTAGTTTGTGCCAAGAACATTGAAAGATATTTACCTGGCCGGCTGATTGGAAAAGATGCATATTTGTTCTTCTTTAAAAAAAAAGGCAACCCAACAGAATGTGGAAATTATCAGGTAATATCATTACATCAGCAATGATATCCCTGCTGCCATGGCCTCTTCTAAGTCCTGCTTGAATTTCTCTGAAATTTCCCTATATATGTACTGTTCCAGCCATTTTTTAATGATCTTCAGCAGTATTTTGCTTGCATATGAATGGTATTGTTTGATAGTTTCCACATTCAGTTGGATCACCTTTCTTGGGAATGGAACAAATACGGACCTCTTCAAATACATTGGACAGACAGCTATCCTCTAAATTTCCTGGCAGAGACTGGCGAGTGCATTCAAGGCTGCATCTGTTAATTGAAACAAGTCAATTGGTATCTCATTGATTCCTGGGGTCTTATTTTTTGCCAATGCCTTCAATGCAGCTTCTACTTCCTCCTTCATTACCATTGACTCTTGTTCATCCCATGGAAGGCTAAGAGAACCAACAGATATGTCTTAGAGAGGATGCAGCTAGAGTGCTCTTTGGAGGCAAGAATTATGAAGCGTTATGCATACCCATGTTTATTGCTTCTTTGTTTGCAACAGCAAAGAGTTGGAAACAATCCAAGTGCCCATCAACAAATGAATGGATAGAGAATCTCTGGTATATTCACACAATGGAATACTATGCAGCATTAAAAAACAGGGAACTCATGAAATATTATGCAAAGTGGATGACCCTGGAGAACATTATGCTGAGGGAAATATCTCAGTCACAAAAGGATAAATAAATATTGCATAGGGCCACTATTGTAAAGTGAGACTGACGTCAGGGTTGAGGGAAGACAGAGAAGGAGGGGAGGAATGATGTATACTGCATTGAAACAGATGAGGGAGAGAACTGTTTAAAAGGGTTATATGATTGGGTATTATTGTCATGGCAGGAGTCCAGAATGAAGGTTACACAGTGGCGTGGACTTGGGGGGAGGGATTGCTTAACAATGAGTTTTTAATTTACTTTTCAAGGAGAAGAGTGAATTGGGGGAGGGGGTGGGCAGGGAGAAAAGTGCAACAATGAATGACTGGAAACTCTACGTTTCTGTAAACTTTCATTAAAATTAATAAAAAAAGAGAGAGAGAAAAGAATTATGAGGCTTTGCCTCACATATTTTGGGCATGTTGGTAAGAGATGCTATTCCTTGGAGAATCCCATGATGCTGGAGAGGGTGGAGGGTCAGCAAAGGAGAGGAGGACCCTCAACCAGGTGGATTGACATGGTGACTGTCAGTAAGTGTGAGGATACACAGGATAGAACAGCTTTCAGATCTTTTGTTCACAGGGTCTCTATGAATTATACTCGACTAGAAGGTGCTTAACAACAGCAACAACATCATTAATATCACATGCAAGTCAAGTGTTGCTGAAGATTATTGAAAATTGACAGGAGCATCACATCAACAGGGAACTGACAGAAATCCAAGCTGGATTCAGAAGAGTCTTTAAAGGAGGAATATCATTGCTGATGCCCGATGGATCCTGGCTGAAAGCAGAGGATACCAGAAAGATGTTTACTTCTGTTTGTTTTTTGAAATTGAGACTTTAATGTAAGATTATAGAGAACTTGGATTTCCATTCTTTCATTGTTGCACATTTTCCTCCCTCCTCCCTGCCCCCAGTTTGCTTTTCTCTTTGGAAAAAAAAATCTTTCCTTGCTATAGAGTACCCCCCACCCCCTGCCAGTTCACTTTACTATGCAGCTCTTATTCTGGACTTAATGTCATGCCAATAATAGCTAATCATATATTCCTTTTATCCAGTTCTCTCTCTTGTCTGTTTCAATGCCATGTACATTATTTATCCCCTTTTTTCTTAGTTTCTTCCCAACATCCATGTCAGTCCTGTTTTATAACAGTGGCATTCTGTAGTATTTATCCTTTTGTGATTGAGATATTTCACTCAGCATAAGTGTCTTCCAAAGTTAACCATTTTGTATAATATTTCATGAGTTCCTTGTTTTTCAGTGCTGTATAATATTCCATTGTGTGAATATACCACAGCTTCTTTATCCATTCCTTTGTTGGTGGGCATTTGGGTTGTTTCTAACTCTGCTATTGTAAACAAAGCAGTAATAAACATGGGTGTGCATATATCTGCTTGGGTGGCAGTTCTGGCTTCTTTAGAGCATATTCCCAGTAGTGGAATTGCTCGGTCAAATGGAGTTTTTATTTCCAACTTTTTGAGAGAGCACCACACTGCCTTCCAGAGGGTTTGCACCATACTACTGTTTTATTGACAGTGTAAATGCCATGCCACTAGGG